TGGACTTGTGCACCTTCAGGTTCCTCAGGTGAAAAAAAAATCCACTGGCTTTTTTTTATCTCTTTACTATCATGCAACACTACCGCTAGATGTCAGATTGTGAAAGGGCTCCACTAGTCCCCACAGTCGCATGAAGCTGATTTAACAGATGAATTAGAGGAAAGTATTACACAAGGAAAGGGGAATGGCCAGGAAAAAAGGTAACTTTATTGATCTTTAGCTTTTGATAGTCTTAAATTACTGGTCTTGTAGGAAGAATCACACAAAATACACACAAATATAAAGGAAAGCTCCTGAAACAACCTTTTTCCTTTGGGCTTTTACACTGGTTTTAAGGCATCTTTCAAAATTAACCCTGATTCATTACAGGAACTTTTAGGCATTACCACAATGCTAACACTAAATAACGATATGAGACACAGAGCTTACTCAATGCAAATTAAAATAATATAAAGAAAAAATAAACGGTCAAGTCTAGTTCCTGCAGACGTTATAGACCTACCTATATTTACAATTCATCTCATTCAATGGCCTTGCCCTTCAGCCCAATGCTCACAGCTATATCACACTAACTATGGGGCTTGGTGATGAAATACCATGCTATGTTTACATCCCAGCAATCTGGCAAACTGGACACTGTAAAGAAAAGGAGACTAGGTACATGCTCTATGTCACGTCATGGTGTTGATGAATAGTCTTCATAGCAGGCTAAGGGACCTTGTGCAAAGACCAGAGCTATGCAGACAGCCCTGGACCACATCCTAGTATCCAACAGAAGGATCAGCCTTGGACCGTGGATTCTGCTCCTCTGTCATCATGGTCGCAACTTCCCAGCACAAGAGCTAGAAAGGGGAGGGACAGGGAAAAGGAAATGTTCTACGTAGAAGTACAGGACAAAAAAATTTCCCACTTTCATCAGCTTAGAGTACAAACTCTGTATTCTGTGACTACACCAGCTTAATCTATTTGCTCTATCCCTGTTTACAGAAAAAAAAAGTGCTTCAGAGAACTTCCTTCTCTTCTAGTACCTTGTGTAAAGTGAAATGATGCAAAGGAATTTTGATTATAGTGAATGATACTAAAACCAAAGCTGATGTCAGAGTTATCCCTTCCTAAGTCTGGAGGGAAAGCCATGGGACAGAATGCATAAAACATTGAAATCATTAGTTAATTTTTGGGATGAGAAAGGGACTTTAAATTGCATCAGAACCATGCTGTAACGCTATTTCATGGCACTGCACAACCTTATCCCTTCAGCTGAATTCTCTAAGTGGGCATGAATCATTGTGCTTGTACTACTGGGAATACGACCTCTTTTCTAAATCTGACCCTCACTTTCCTTCTCAAAAGTGCCTAAATGATTCCTTTTCACCAGAGTCTTTCAGTCACTGTTCATGGTCACAGCTGTGAAAAGGCACTTACTCTCATTATCTGCTTCCTAGGTTGATGCTAGTTTATCTTTCCTTCCAAGAAAGTGCCTCAGTATTCATTATGGATATAGTTTCTGAAACTCTATGTGGTGAGGATTCCTTTCTCTTTCTTCTGCTATTATTTGCTACATCACCATGATTCTTATCCCTTTGATGGCCCACATGGGACTTTTGCCCCAGTGCAGGACAGGGAGAAGACAATCATTTTGACAGCACAGAGAAGTAGACCATGGTAACAAATGGTACATGGATACAGCTTATAAATTTTGCTGATTCAAGGTCTTCCTATGGAACAATCCTTGGAATTTAAATCCAGAAATCGGTACCTTCCTGAGCTACCTGGGAAGAAATAACATAACAATGTGGGGTGTTGGATCACTTTAAAATGTGGAAGTGTGAAATGTGAAATCCTATATTAGGCGATAAATTTGAGGTCAGTTTCAAAAGTGAATACTATGTGAACAGACCTATAAACCTTAGTCTCAAGCAAATTCATTGAAACAAGTATGAAGAAAAGGATCTAATCTTACTCTTTCAAAACTGGACTAACCCAATGAATCCTGAAAGACTTACTTCTGACCTCTCATTGTGTAGCAGAAGGTAGGAGAACAAATTTTCATCCATCATTATCTGTGACAATAATTTTATAAGATAGCACAATGCACAGTTTTTGCTGCTGGCCATTGAGGATCAACATATATATATATAAACTCATTACGTTGCTTTTGGTTGTACTTTGATAAGGACCCTCTGGATAACAGTTTCCCTGTTGTATGACAGGAGGCTGTATGACCCTAACATGAGTGATTGCTGGTTTAATGTTAAGCCCATCCTGAAGAGCTTTGCAAGATCAGTGCTGGAACATATATCAGCTTGTAGTGTTGAGGAGAAAAATCCTGGAATATCTGTGGGACATATCAGTTCTTTGTCTTCAGCAGAGTAAATTAAGCAGTGTCAGATAAGTAATGATGTATACTGTTAAATTATTAACTTGGTCCCTGGCACAGCTTTATCCTGGACAAACTAGCCTTTGGACATGATTCAGGAGTCATTGCAGTTCAGAGACATTCCTCAAGAAGCAATCTGCTTGTATCTGTCCTGCTTTGAAAGAGAATTTTAGATAAGAGTAGTTCCAGGCCTATTTATTTTATTAGTACAGCAATAGTCAATGTCTGCTCTTTGCACCTTGACGGCTTGCCACACTCATGTGGATAAGCAGGACATGCCTGACCTTGCTTTCTTGTTTATACCATCAGGTTTTGTTCCCCTCTGATAAGTTTTCTGTCATCCACTTGGGTCTTACCCAATCCTTTCCCCTTCAGGATGCTCTGATAGCACATCCAGGTTTAGTAACCTTTCTTATGGGAACTGATAAGGAAAACAAACCTGACTCTTAACTAGAAGTCAGAAGTCCAACCTTAAAACCCTATAAAAAATTACAAAAGCCTTTTTTCCTGGATGTTCCACTGCTTCATAACGGGGTTTTTCAGAGCACATCCTCTCATTCATCTCAGTCCTGTTTGGATGGGTTTGTTTAATAGTGCCATGAAATCTGCTGCCATGGGAGGTTCTGTTCGGTGCCTGCTGTTTGTCCAACCACTCTGTATAAAATCCTTCTTTACAAGGCAGAATCAAGACTAATATCTTCTACTACTCTGTCACTTGATCTATAATCAGAACAAAAAACAGCTTTAAACATGTCCAAGGCATCTGACAAGCCATTGTCTGCAGATGTTTCTGCCAAGCCTCAGGCTCTTCAAAGCTCTGGACTATCTTTTTTCTAATCTGCCCCAGAGTTCAGTTTTCATCTGCCTAATTTCAGCATCCATATAGATTGTCTGATCTGAAGAATTTAAGAGCCCAATCCCACTTTATTTCTTCAGTCCTTCACATCTCCCTTCACTAGATAGGTACAACTCCAACCACAGATGACTGACCCAAGTGAAAGCATTCCCAAGGACACAAGCATCACCATTTGCAAAAATTACCACTATCTCCTCCAAGTTTCTGTGAACATTCACCCAAGTTGGTTTCTGATATGGGAAAATTTTACCTTTTTCATAAATCAGTGTAAACTCAGAATCCTGACCTCTAACTCCCAAGTAGTAAGAAATACAAACATCTGCCCATGATGCAAATATCTTTGGGGTTTTTTTATTATTTAGGATTTAATTTATTCACTGTTGCTACCCATGAATTTGTACATGCTCTGGGCCTCGGCCATCCCACTGATCCTTCTGCTTTGGTGTATCCTACTTACAAATATCAGTCTCCATTCAGATTTTGTTTGACAAAGGACAATGTGAAAGAGATCCGAGCACTGTATGGTACATCCTGTATACCTCGTAAAGAACAATGTACTTAACATGAAATGAAAAGATTTGGCAATTTCTGCTTCATTTGATGCTGTTACAGTGCTGGGAAAAGTGATTTTCTTCTTCAGAGATGGGTTAGGTTTACACTCCTTCTATCATCCAATGTGTTAGTCCTGACTCAATAAATGTTTCTAGATGTTTTGCACAGTTTCTTTGTTTTGTACAGTTTCTCAACGTATAGTTTCATTGTGGAATAGCAGAAACCTGAGTTTCTTTGTTGCCAATAAGCTTTTGGAAGAGATTAAAGCTGTACATAGTCCTAAAACTTTGTTGTCCAGCTGTGATAAAGGAGATTAAAACTTTTTTCCTCCAAAGAGGTTAAATCATGACTGCACTGAAGTCAGTCATAAGTTCCTTTGGGAAGACTCTGCCTGCAAAAGATTACAATATCTTGACTAAAAAGACACTCAGAGATAATGATATCTGATCTGTAGAACACATGATCATTCCCCATTACAAGGCGTCCTTTGAAAGCAGGGCCACAGTTTGGCTTGGTTTTGTTACCTCCTGAGTAGACACTTCAGCAACTGGGGACGGTGAACACGGATGCATGTCCTTTCTATGAGAGCATCAGTCAAATTATCACTTAGAAGAGAGCAGCCAGTGGTTGCTTGGATCCATTTCAGTCCAAATTTACAGCAGAAATCTCAAACCCTAATTCTTTTGCTGAGCTAGAACAACACCTCCCTCTTTGCTGGCCTGACACTCCAGCTACTGTGAAACCAAGGAGACTGAGAATCTCTTCTGTGACAAAATTAAAGTTCTTTCAGATAACAATCAGTCATCATTCTGCTTAAAGCTCTGATAATCACTGTTTCCCTTGGGTTTTCCAGACTTAAAGCAGTCAGCAAGTTTGTACCATTTTGGAGCAACAGTCCATTGAAATCCTATGTACTGCAGCCATGTTTCACCACAGCCTACCATGAGCTGGTAGGGAGTCACACAGGATTTAACTGGACTTGTGTTTTAACAACGCTTTGCCAAAAATAATGATTGTCAGCAAAATACTTGGGAAAACAAAGAAAACTTCCTAAAATAAAATGTAATTTATGTTATTTTCATTTTTCATCAGGAACTGAAAAATGCCCCAGATTTCATAAATTTGATGCCATATCCTTTGTGGCCTGTGAGTCATCTCCTAAATCTGTGGTAGAAAGATTTTTTTTTTTTACTTTTTTTTATTATCACACAGTCTCTCATTCTGGGTCCCGTAGAGGAGATATTGCCTACAAAAATGCCTGACACAGCACAGTTATCATGACTGTAGCTGAACTAATGCATTAATCAGTGCTGGAGACTGGTCTCCAGCTGTAGATGTAACCAATATGACCAGATCAAAGAGAAATCATAGGAATTATATGATGAGGCTACTAGACAGAAGCATATAAGATGGCATTTCCGATGGAGCCTGAAACCTAAGGCTACATCTATAGCAGGAAATAAAATACAATTGAGACCATTCCCTGACATGGAGGTCACCAGGCATGAAACAGCTCATGCCCATGCTATTAAACTGTCTTAATCTCCAAGATAGGTCGGTTACATCCAAACTGGTTATTAAGAATCATCCCTAACCTATGACATGTTCTGAATAGTGCCTGGGAACTGTTCAGAGGACTGGTCCCAAATGAAACTACCCAAGAGCCACTCCAGCAATTTAACAGTATAGAGAATTGATATCAAGTGCCTGGGAATGCTTTTAGATACCACAGAATATACAAATATCAGCCGTAGCCTGAGCATCCATCCATCTCTCTCAAAATCCATTGAACACCAGGCTCATAGATGCCAGTGCAGCAGCACCCAGCGAGGTCCACAAGGTAAAATGCTTTCTGCCCTCCTCACCTTGTCTCTTCCTTTTAATATACCTATTTAGTTAGTTTCCATATCATTTTATGCCTGGCAGTCTGACAAGAGAATTTAAATGACTGACAAGAAATTGAATCAGAGTTGCAGCTGCTGCAACCATTTCACAAGATGCAGCAGTGGCTTATAGAAAGCCACAACACCACAGCAAAAAAAGGGAAGAAATTCTAAAGTAGGATATCCTTTGGAGACTGCTATTGCTCATTCAAAACAGATGTGAAACACACTGGTCTACTGGTAGGGTGAACAGACACATGATTATCTTGGAGAGTTGTCCCAGTAAAATTGCACAGAATCTTTTTAGACACACACACAAGCATATGCATGTATATACGTGGGTATATATTTATATAATTTTGAGAAGGATCCAGCCATCACATTGCAAAGGAGCTCTGTGTGTGTAATAGCTGCACACAGGCAAGCTGCACTCGGTAAATCTGTAGCTCTTTGACTTTCTTCTGCTTCTCTTCCCACTGCACGCAGCCTTCATCAAGGCAGCTACGGGCTTACTGTGACCAAGGCAGCAGTCCTGGTTGCAGTAAATTCAGTGCAGACTTTCTATGGCCTCCTCTCAACAGATTCTCTGCAGGGTAAATCTGTTTTCTACCTACAGATGAAAGCCCTGTAAAATCATTTACATATGTTCCACTTGCATCACACTTTTAGATTCAAGCATGGAGCAACCTTTCCGACCAGAACTTTGGGCTGCCCCAGGCTATCTGTCATGAAGAGTCTTGGGCTAGACCATTCTAGCAACAGATGATGAAGAATAGGCAGGACATAAGAAGACATCCCTTTTATTTAACCATAGGTATCTATTATACAGATGATTACATGAAAGTTAATCCTCAGTGCCAGGGCAGAGAAACAAGCACTGCAAGGCTCATTGAACCATTCCTTCCTTTCCTCAGCTCATGTTAAATGCTGATGCTGCTTATGAAGTTTCTGAGAGGGCTTTGGTTTATTTTTTCAAAGATAATTTATTTATGGGGAACAAAACAACAAAACAAAACAAAGCAAACAAGCAAACAAACAAAAAAAACTGAAAGAAAAAAGAAGAAAAAAAACAGTAAAATTGTTTAGGAAAGAAAAAGCTCTCAAACCTGTTGGTCTCTTGAAAGATGAACAAAACTGTTCATAACTTAAGACTGTTAGCCTGGGTACAGATCCAGCACTGAAAGTGGGAATGTCTAAAGCTAACTGTCAATTCAATGTCTTTTTATGTGGATCAATCAACTGGAGGTGGAGGAAGATATCACAGTCAAGGTTATATGTAGCAATCACAACAGGAAATGAAACCAAATTCTTCATCTCCTAAGTTGTATTTTAGCCCTATTTCCCACCATTTGCCAATTTATAGAAATATAATAGTTTCCTAAAGAGTCACAGGAAGAATTATATATGAGCTAGGACTATGTCTTACACAGAAGTTCCAGCTTCGTACAGAAAAGTTATTTCTGCAGAGAACACTTACTGAAGGTAAGCAAACACTATTGAACACTAAGTGAAGGTTGCTGTACCAAAAGGTTTAATAAGGAAGGAGCTATTTACAAGCATATTTACATCTAGAAGGACCTACTCCATCATTTCATTTTACCTTTCACAACATGAAGACCAGAAACTTCTCCAGCATTTCTTATCTTCCACCCAAGAGGCCTTACCTTTAAGTAATAAAAGATCCAATCTTCATCTAAAGACATCAAGTGATGAAGAATTTCCCAACTCATTAAACAAGGTGTTTTAGCATTTAAACTGATTCATATTAATTTACAGAGAAAACTGAAACATCTTTAATCATATCTGAGTCCTTTTAGGGTTTTAAATACCACCAGTCAAATCCTGAAGCTATATAGGATGACCAGTGCTCAACCTGGTCTGCACTGGTAGGACAAGATTCCATGGAAATACCATGTTGCATTGTGTAGCAGTTTTATTTCCTCTTGTGTTGAATCACACCAGTGGCATCCTTTTCTTTCAAATTCAGATTCAAGAACTGTATCTGCAACAGCACTGCTGGGAAATTGACAATTTTTGTTTAACAACTTTCCTTTTTCAGACCCTTATTACTGGGTAACTCAAGGATTTCAAATGCAGAGCTCCCCTTGCACCATCTCTGACTTAGGGTTTTCCAAAAAAGAGCAGCACACTGATTCATTCGACTACCTAAAGGGAGGTGCCCTTCTTTATGGGAGATGAATATTACACAGCATTCAATACTGCCTGTCCCTTTTGGACTGTACTTCTATTGGAAAAGAAAGATTTTATTTTTCATTAAGGAAATACTGAGAAAACTAAAAGTGTTGGAAAGTTGGGATACATCTGACAAAATGTAGGTGCCTACAATGTATATGGCTCTACACGACTCTTTCAAGCAAGACTCCCATTATATTCAGTCTGGACCTGTGATTTACTCCAATCTCTGAACAATGACTTAGGGAGTGCCTCCACAGGATAGAGCTAAAGCCAAACAGAGATTGCTTTGCCATCTCTCCAGCCTCCTCAGGGGTGCTGATTTTGTAAGCAGAATGAGATACACTCTCATGTCATGGTTAAACACAAAGCAAGGGCACGATGCATCAGATCTTGGCTCCTCCAGTTTCAGAGGTATCAATGTTTAGAAGATCCACAAAATACTTATCACATATTCTTCCAAATAGTACAAGCCACAAAATAGTCCTGAAATAAACTGTTCAGTTAAAGAACTTCTGTGAACACCAAACCACACCAGAGGATGAGACAATAGAGGGCACAGAGATATCCAAAGTCCTAGGCCTTAAACAGCAGAGAATGTGTTAGATATGTGTAGTAGATCCCTCCTCACAAGCAGCTTTTCCACCCTCACTATTGCTCCTTCTCTCTCCTGGAAGGTGCTGAGGAGAAATATACACAGCCCAGAAGCCAGTCTAATCAAATCTGCATTTAAAATAGAATCAATTATCTAGCCCTATCTGATCAGAAATGCAATTTTAAATACTTACAACACTAAGAAAATGAAGAATACAAATACCTTTAAATTACTAAAATACTAAGAGAATCAGCGAAAGAACAATGAAATATTTTCACACCTTTGGCTTCCCAAACAGTTTTGGTAATTTATCTCTCTTAAGTAACATATTGCATTTTTTCTGACCTGTATAAATAATTTTAATTTGCTTTCTTTGCTTTCCCTAATGAAATAGGAAAAACAAATGGTAACTCAAAATTGAAGAAAGATGCATTACTCCAAAAAAAGTAAAAAAAAAATAAATGCACAACTTTTCCAATAAATGTTTTCTGGAAAATTCTGACCCATCTATCTTAAAACCAGTTCTCACTTACTAAGCAAATGAAATAAGGATGCAGAGTGAACGTAATATTATTACAGCTGTTCAAACCACTAAGCAAACACATTGATTCATTCTAAAGAAACCACATTCAGAAAAGCTGTAAAATCTTTATAGGAGTTATTAAATTCATTTTGCTTGGTGAATACAGAGCACATATATTTTCTGGCATAGGCATAGGTAATAAAATAAATAAGGATGGAACTAAAACAAATGTCTGTGCTACTGTAGTTAGTACTTAGCAAAGCTGCAATGGAGTACATCTGACTTTCCACAAAGACTGACATTAAAAGTAGCATCAAAGTTTTTAATCTGATTTTCTATTTTATTGATTTGACATTATCCTAACCTTAATGATGTTTCTTACTTGCAGTTTCTCTCTCTATATATATTTTTTTTTTTAGATCAAGCAGTTCCCTATGGCTCCCTATAGATTTTCTACTTAGCACATTTAACCAAAATCTTCAAACATTTCCTTTTCTGGCCTTTGTAGCCCATTTTTTTTTTTTAAGGTATGAGAATGTCTAACTGCATCCATGCAGACTATATTATGCAAATTGCACAATCCAAGTGAAATTGTCTGAAAGCAATTGCATAGGTGAGGAATAAAGGTTAGATACGCAGCCATAGCAGGGCTGCTGGGAGTGAGCAAGGTTGTATGCTTTCCTGACGAGAGACAGCAGAAAGAGGCAGGAGGGGGCTGTTTACCACCTAATTGCTCCTCATACCCCATCAAGAGACTGAAAAGAGCTGCCTCTGCCCACTTTCTGATATTGTATATCCAATGTTCTCTATCAAAGGCACTTTTTAGATCTCATTTACTTATTGCAGTGAAGAAGTCTTGCCATTCCAAATACATTTTCAAAAGTATGAAAAAAACAGCATTAACACTGGTTCATTTATAAAAAGTGTTTCCTCTTCCAAAGTCACAATGAAAAGAAAAGAAAGACAGGAAAATAACACCCAAAAAGTATTCATAAAGAGTTTAGAGGAATCAGAAGCAAAGCAGATGCAGCACTGGAATTGAATGGTGCATATTTAACCTCATAGCAAACAGGTCTGGTCCTGCTGGTCTGTCCTCTGTGGAAGTGAGGAAGTTAGTATAAGCACAATGTCTGTTTCCAAAAATAGCATTTTGTAGGATTTTCGGGGCGGACGGACATTTTTTGGTAGTAGGGGAAGGGGCTATAGTGATGGCCCCTGTGAGAAGCTTTGAAAACCTCCTCTGGCTCCAAGGTGGACCCACCTCCAGCCCAGGCTGAGCCAACTAGCAATTGTCTCTGAATCCATGCTTATGAGGGGAAGAACCAGTTTGTTAAAGGAGAGCCATCAGGAGACACAACTGACTTGAACAAAAAGACCATCAATGACCTCTGAGGAAGGAGGAGGGGGAAGACAGAGAACCTCAGACACGCAAATGGAGGAGGTGCACTGGACCGGAGGCCCATCTGCAGCCCATGGATGTCCCCATGCGAAGCTCCCATTGGAACACTTTGTTCCTGGACTCCTGTAGCCCATGGAAGGGACTTCATGGTGGAAAGAGCAGCATAGATTAACTGACTGCAACCTTCATTCCCTGTCCCTGGGCCACTGGTGGGGAGACAGTAGAGAAATAGGGAGCAAAGTAATTTGAGCCCAGGAAGGAGGAAGGGGTGGGGGTAAGATGTTTTAAGATGTAGTTGCGATGTCTCACTATCCTACTTTGATTGATTGGTAACATATTAAATTGATTTTTCCTCCCCAAGTTGAGTCTGTTTTGCACATGACCATAATTGGTAAATGAGCCCTCCCTGTCCTAATTTCAACCCATGAGCCCTCTACTGTGTTTCTCTCACTGGGTGGTGGGGATTGAGTGAAGGATCTCATGGTGCTGTAACTGAAACCACCACAAGCATTTTTATTGATTTATTTGTGTGATGAATCTGAATAAGATTTCCTGTGTAACTGCTTTAATGAAGATTCTGGAACATACCAGCTCCACATCCAAGCCATGAAATCATCAGATTATTTCAAACTGCAAAATACAATTCTGCATTGAGTTTAGCATTTTTTTTACATGTTAGTTTTAAACGCTTGCTCTTCAGCTTTCTGCTGAAAAAGTCACAGCACACAAAAACTAGAAGGTTGCAGTCAGGAAAAAGTTGTATACATATTTAATGAACAACTAAAAAATTACCTTGAGTCTTGAAAAATTACTTGAAAATCTCATACATTTATAGCTCCAACAGGAAAGCTTGGAATCCCAAGACTTTATAGGAATAGTATACTGCTGTGACAAGCAAGACTGGGGAATTCCTGAAGTTTGTTGAAGATATTTTCCTGTCATAAGTACTCACTGTGGTGGTTTGACCCACAGTGGGACCATGTGGTCCTGCATTCACTCCCCCAACCCGATGAGATGGGATGGGAGACACAACAAAGGGACACGGGATTAGGAATGAAGGACAGGGACAGCTCACTCACCAGTTATGTTCACGGGCGAAACAGACTCAAACTTGGGGAAGAAAAATCAATTTAATTAGTTGCAAATCATCTGAGTAGACAAAACAACCACATCTTACAACATCTCCCCCCACCCCTCCCTTCTTCCCGAGCTCAAATCATTTTGCTCCTGATTTCTCTACCTCCCCCGCACCCAGGGGCACAGGGGGCAGGGAGTGGGAATTCAGTCAGTTCAGCTCTGCTGCTCTTCCCAGCATGGAAGTCCAGGAATAAGATGTACCAACACGACCTTCCCATGGAGTCACAGACCTCTTCGAGCTCAGCTCCTGGCTCTGGCATGGGGACATCCACGGGCTGCAGACTCACCCATTACTCTGGGGGTCCACCCCCGCTCTGGCTCAGGATCTCAATTCCAGTCACACTTGCCTCAGGCTCAACTCCTCTGATCCAGAGTGGAGTCCTCCATGACCTACATATAGGTCTCTACTCTGCCATTGGATCTCCATGGGCTGCAGAGGAATTCCTTTGTCTTTCTCCTACTCCATGCAGTTGAACTGGGTGTGGATCTTTGTCCTTCTTTCTGGCAAGGAAGCTCTCTCTCTGTCCATCTGTCCTTTGTTTAGGCTGATGGCCGTCTTTTGTTTGGTCAACCGTCTCTCCTCCAGGTACCACC